AAATTGCTCTGTTTACCAAGCTCCTAATCAACACTTTTCCCATTCTCTTAAGCATTTTAAATGCAAAGGTTGTCTCTGATTACCAACTTTAAAACAGAAGAAGACACTCCAGAAAGGCTTTCAGTTTCAGGGAATTGAACCACCCCACCAGTGGCTGTTAAGTGCTCTTAATCCAAATTCAATGAGAGATGGCCTTGCTCACTTTTAATAACAGGTGAACTTCAAACTACCTGATTTTTCTTTGAGTCTATAGAATCAAAGACTTGATATTTTACTGCCCACATGATACCAACTTGCTTTTGCAGTATGAGGTAGTTTAGAGTGATTCAGCCTTAATTAAAAGTAGGATATTTAAGCCATTTTTATAAGATGTAAAATTGATAGGGGAACTGCTGGTGAGCTCATCTGAACTGCTGGATGCTCACTGTTATTCTCCGATAAACAATGAGACTCATTCATATTTGATGAGGACTGGCTCTTTCTGGTTATCTTACTCTTATCACTGATCACAAATAAACATGTAATTAATTTGCAGTATATGCAGTATTTGTTCATCCTTTTATGTTCACCCTCCCAGTGCAGGTGTTTTGTCAATTTTCATCATGTCCCACCCAATACTAATGGGATTGCTCCAGCCCTTTCCCCTTCCTGTTCCTGCTAAATTCCTCCTTTCAATTCCTCATTTCAATTCACCAAGCAAGAACTCCTTGATAAACTCACAATCTTACCTACACTGTCTTGTATCTTCAGCAAAATATAGGAATCCTTCTCTGGGTATCACAGTTGATCCTATTATGTCAAGATAAGCAGGACTTGGAAAATAACTGGGAACTGGATCCAGGTCAAGTGTGTGTTTGGGGTGTGCTTTAGCTATGGATTCCACACTTTTGGACAGTGTTCAAAGGCACGTGGCTGCTACTCTGGATGACACTGCACATCTGTCTGGTTCAGAAGTTTGAGACTCTGGCAAATTTTCTGATAATGCAGCTGATTTTATCTGTAGGGCTCTAAATCTTGAACATGATAAGGAGCTGCCTTGGATAAGGGATTTTCTTAAATTCTGCTCAATTTAATCCTACAGGAAAAACTGTGGCAAATCTACTAACACAAACAAGAACTTTAAAAAATGCAAGCTCACAGCCTAAATGGATAGTTGGTAAATGAGCTGATCAGCTTCTGAGCAACAGTAAGAGAACAAGTGGATATTTACTCTAGGATAGGAAATGAATACATAGATTTGTTTTATTGTCATTCTCTTGCTAACAAAAGGCAGACAGGAATGCTAGAAAAATAAGCAGCCCTAGAGTTAGAAGTCTATTTTTTTTATCTAAATAAGAAACATCATTAAAAGCAACTGAACAAAAGTAGCTCCCACAAAAAGGCAAGGCCATCAGCAAGAGTTAAGTATATGTAAATGGGATTTACTTCTCTGAGAGCAGTGTACTCTCAGCACCTCAGAGGAATCATTCCAATACAATACTGCAAGTGATTATGAAGCAAATATGCATTACCTTAAATAAACCAAAGCAAGAGACAAAGCAAATTATTTTGAAGTGCTTTTACTCTGTAACTTCATTAAAGGAGGTTGTTTATTCTCAGAGGGGAACTAGAAATTGAATATTGAAATCTAAAATTACAGAAATGTAAATCTGTTTATGGACCAAGGTCAAAGAGAGTTCTATTATGAACAAGGCTATCATCTACACAGTTAGAAATATTTTAAAAATATTTTTTAATTTTTTATATTAGTTTGTTTTTTTCTTTTATCTAACATCCTCCTCACTGCTTTTGCTTATTTTCTTCCCAAATTTTTGCTTATTTTTGTATTTCCAGGGCTCCTCACTGAAGAACTGGTATCAGGGTTTATCGTTATTTTACTTTTCAAAACTCCATTGGAAATAAGAGTCTCACCTTGGAACATAAAGGGCCAAGTCAACAGAAGGTCTAAATTGCTAAATTGTCCCTGCATTCTAAATAAAAACGTGGGATTAGCTGATGTGTGCTAGCTCCCTATTGCAGGTCTTACTTAACTGTAAAAATAACTCTGCTATCTGCATGGAGGGAGTCTGATGGGAAAGATCAAAGGAGAAAAAAGCAGAGGGGAAAAGGAATGGGAGGAAGAAAAGGGAAAACAACAGAGGGTTCTTTACTGATATAATTCACAATTCAGGACTGTGACATTTTCTTACTTTTTGATCTGTTTTCCTATTTGCAGCAAAGTCACTGATGCCAAAAAGGACCCTTCATATGCTATGCTAGAATCATACCAATCTATAGAGGAAAAAAGCAAACAAGATCAGCTTTATGCTTATTTTCAGAGGTAAACCATACTGAACTACTGAATCTTGGGGGGGAAAAAGGAAATAGAAGTTTCATCAAAAGACATACGGCACATTAAATGTTATGTACACAGTATTTTTGAAGTTGTTGCAACATATTTTTCTCTAACAAAACTGTAAGAACTGTGGGGTGGCTTTCATCTGTCTTTTAGTTTTTAATTGGTTTTATGTCTCTTTCCTTTATATATAACTATGCATACACCCACACAAAGATTCAAACATACATATGCATACATTCATTTCATTTATAAATATTGATTAATATTCTTAATAATGAAAAAAATCAAGCAGAGATCCTACTCCCCATAATGGTTCTGAATTGCAAGTCGTCTTTTGGATCGCTCTGAATTGTCTGGTGGTTCTTTGTAAACACAGTAGTAAGTTACAACATTGAAATAATTGTCATGGTGCTTGATATTTACATCAAAACACTTCAATACAGCACAATCACAGAAACTTACTTCTGTGCTCATAGGTTGGGAAGCTTGAGTTCTGCATTTCTCTAGTACTTCTAACATTGTACTGTATGCAAGTTGCCAAATAATGGTATTTCATTTTAGTACAAATAAAATACTGCTTATTTGTAATTGGCTATCCAAGAGAGAATGAAGAAGAAGATGGAAGCAGAAGCAGCAAGTAGACAAGCAGATGTGGATGTGCACTTGGATACCAGACCTCTGGATAGCAAAGGAGCATACAGTACCCAGCACCCTGAAGATCAACAGCTCAGAAAACACGGTCAGGAAAGCTCTGCACTGACTGATCACAAGATAACGCTCTCACAAAGGGATGCACAGGAGTCCAGCTCACGACACCTCCTCCTGCTCAGAGCACCAGCAGAAGAAGCAAGCTGGGCAATCTTCACATTTTCAGTTTTACCGAGTCTTTGGAACAGACCCAAATAATTTCCGTGGTTGAAGCTCATTTTGCCTTTGAGACTGACTGTGAAAAACCCCACCAAACAGAAACACAATGGTGATGGAGCCTGGGAAGCAGCCAACAATGCCAGACTGGAATGATGAACTCAAGCAGTTTGGCCACTGATAATTCCACAACGGATGGGGATGTTCCAGGAACGAGGAGATGCGCAAGGCTCACAATGGCTTATTCAGCATCCACAAACACTGAATAAAGAGACTCCAAAAAAGAAACACACACAACCACAAAAGCCAAGCCAGGAGAAGCACTGATTCGGGGGGTTGTTTTAGAGAGATGAACATGACAACTCAATGGGAATGAAAGGCTGGACCCAGATGGCAGGAGGTAAGAAAAGATCATGGCAATTATGATGCAGCATAGCTGTCAGTGATACAAGGACAGATCACGCCGCTGCTGTCAGGAAAATGGAAGAGGATTTTTCATTGCTGTGGGAAGATCAAGGCATTAAAATTACATACGTACATACGTCAAGAAGTGAAGACCAATTGCAGGACAGATACAGGAACCTTTAAGCAGCTCCTTTTAGGATTGTGTATATGACTTCAGAATGTCTGATCCAAGAAAGCCTGGCAAATGTTTAAGACCTTCTATAGTGCTTTGCAAAGAAAAAAAAAATTAAAGTTATGTGACTGAGAACATTTTCTGTGACTTCTGATATGTTTGAGGAAGGCCAGTGATGCCACTGGGGAATCTCATGGATGGAATGAAGGGCACAAGTTTGTTCTAATAATCTTCGTACTTGATTGGGCTTAAACAATGAAAGGGTGCTTTTTCAAAACCATGTCTGGAAACAATTTGTTTTGAGCATCTTGGGTCTCACAAATCACTATTGTTTTGAAACCACTCAGGAGAGTGGAATATGTTACAAATTTGCATACATATGGTCTGTACTTGAGTTAGAGGATAACAAAAGTGTCATGGGGCTAAACTAGTGTCAAAGAAAAAATAAAAAATCACAAAGAGCAGCCATTGCCTCTTTGTGGTTCTAGCATACTCCCAGAGGCTCAAAGGCCAACACAGGAGAAGGAAAAAATATTTTAAAAATGTAAAAAACTCATTGCTTACAATATTACTGCTACCTGTCTTTATTTCTGCAAAAGGTTGCATGTAAGAAGGCTGAAGTGTTCATAACTGGGTGTTATTAGAGTATATAATCACTGCGCTTCCAATAGGACTTGAAAACAGCATATATGTCAAAATTTAAATTTATTTTGCTGGCCTTCCAGAGTCGTTTGCTAAACCTAGTGTGCATTGGAACCTGAGTGAGTGAATCCCATTAGTCATCACCATCTTAACAATATGCACTTCATAGAGAGTTGGCTTCTGCACAGAGGAAGGAAATTACCAGTACTAACAAAGGAAAGAAGATTTATAACGAGCAAATATACAAAAACTCCAAATAATTCTAATATTCACAGCTTGGCAATGACTTTCTAGGCTATGAAATTACTTTTCTTTTGGAGGAATGAAGATTCCACAAGGTTAGTATAAACAAAGGGTAATTGGAAAATCAAATTGCTCTACACAAGTTATTGTAAGGCCTGGAATAATGGTGATAGAATAAAAAAGAAAAAAAAAAAAAAGAAAAAAAAAAGAAAACCAAAAAAACCAAAACTTGTTTATGATTCAGTGGACTTTTGTTTTGTACATTACTGCAATCAAAACTTCTCCCTTTCAAGCGCTACATGGGAAACAAGTGGCTAAACACAAATCCCAGCTTACCCCTGACACAATGAGCTCTCCTCCCAGGTTCTGAACTTCTGCCTTCACTTTGCTGCAGATATTGAGCTGGTGGCAGTACAGGGCAATGCGCTGCAGGTAGGCCAGCAGATCCTGCTTGCAGGCTGAGTCTGGGCACTGCAGACAACACAAATGCTGGTTAGATGGAGCTGGGCTCATGAGATTAGAGACAGGTAATCAGACAGTGGCAGTGTGTGCGCATTAGGAGGATCTATTCCACTTTATCTTTACATGAGGTACTAGATAAAACCTGAAAACTCAAATTCTACCTTTCATTAAACTCAAAATTTATGAATTGCAACCTAAAGATGCACTCTACCTTTCTGAAAAACGAGAAACCTCTTTATCAGCATTATGAAAATAATAATTTTAAATTATGCTCCGCAATTTATGGAATTGCACTGAACACCCAAAATGTCAGATTTAACTTGAAACCCCAGGTTGCCTGTTGGACATCCCAGTTAACATCCAGAATGGAGCAGTTAATGTCCAGATAAACCCAGTTCTGAGTGGTTGCCCCCAGTGCCAGCTGCTGTGTGCCTGGCAGCTCCCCTGGCGTTTGTGCAGACATCCCAAGGATTAGACCAGGTGTGCTGGATGCTGTGAGGGTTTTTCACAATCAAAACCAGAAAGGGCCCCAGTACAATTTATTCATAGTCTCTGGGACTCTTAATAGAAACTGCATCATCCGTCACAATACCAACAGCATAACAAGCAACAGCCTTGTAGTTAATATTCCAATCTTGCCTCAGGAGAGCAGGCCTCAGTAATTCACTCTGATGAAACAGAGCTAAAAGGGCCCACTGCTAACAGCATGTCTCCAATAAATACTCTTTGGGGCTACCCAGCAAAGTCTGAGTGACAATTCTCCTGCATGGCTTGGGGACAAAGATTCCAAATATGCCTTTTTATCACCTTACAGAGCTTATGCTCAATTAAAAAAATAAATATTATCAGAACATTTCAAGAAAAACTGATAGAATTAAATGCACATGAGTCAACAACATCACAGCTCCAACCCTGAGATCACTGCCCTGGCCCCAGCAGCTCATGCTGGCAGGGAATGTGCTCATGGTGAAGTAGTTGGAAATATTATTGTCTATAACCTCAAATGGAGTCATTTGGCTTTTTTCTTGCCCTTTAAAATTAGTAATAAACAAAGCTGGAGCTTCACTATAGAGCCTCTCTTTCTCAGACAGTTACCACACCTTTCAGGCATTAATCCCTAAAAGAACTCTTCTCCCTACTGATGCCAATTTAATATAAAAATATTTACTCAGTTCTTGAAGTCTCTGAACTGAAAGAAGTGAATTTAAAGCAATACTTCTGAAGAGTAGTCAAGGCTTTAAATATAAATACCTTGGAGTGAAAAAAAACTAAGGGCTCTTTCATAGGAACAATAATTAAAAATGCAGCTGTCCACAAGAAGTTTATATTGCTCAAGGATCCCCAGAGTTCTGTGAAATATCATTAAAGTGTAAGCATTTTTACAAATACTTCATTCTCAAAATAATTTAACTGTTTATTTTTAGGGTTACAGTCCTCTGAAATTTAAAATATGACTCAAGTCAAGGCACTCTTAGCATAACAAGGCTCCTTCTGTTTCTTTCTTTAAAATATTCCACCTCTGCAAACACTGCAGACCAGGAATTTCATCAGCTGACAGATGGATTTCTTCTTTCTGATGTTAAAATGAACAGATGCTACATTTGAAGGACTGGAATGGGTTAACTACAGGAAAAATGCTCGCTGCTGCTGAAGACCTAAACTCAACATTTCTGAGCCTACAGGAAAATGGAAGTTTTGGGGTTTTTTTGCCACTCTGGCCCATATTCCATGGCAAGGTGTTTCACACTGTCACACTCTTACTTGAAGCAGAAAATGACATTCTTATTTTGAAGAGAAAGATTAGAGGCAATGAAGTTAGCTGTTCCTACTTCCAGAAAATTTTCTCTTGATGACAATGAAACGAGAAACTATAGGAAATTTACACAGGGGAAAAAACATTGAAGTTTAATTTGTCT